TAAGCCACTGAGGGGGAGGGATAGCTCAGTGGTTTGAGCATTGGCCTGCTAAAACCAGGGTTGTGAGTTCAATCCTTGAGGAGGCCATTTAGGGATCTGCGGCAAAAATTGGGGATTGGTCCTGCTTTGAGCAGGGGATTGGACTAGATGACCTCCTGAGGTCCCTTCCAACCCTGATAGTCTATGATTCTATGACTGAACATAGCTGCAGACGCAACTATCTGAGTATGGGTTTGCTGTGCTGTCATCTGAGCCTGAGACTAGGATCAGGACGCCTGGGTTCTATCGTGCCATGGGGTCGGTGTGGGATCCTGGTCGATGCATTTCACCTCTATCTAAGGTACTTATCTGACCCTCCTCACCGTAGCCTCTGAGCACCTCAGTGTCTTTGATGTATTTCTTCTCACAACAGGCAGGGCAAGGCTATTATCCCCATTGTACAGATGGGGAAACTGAGGCATGGGGCAACAGCGCGATTTGCGCACGATCACACAGGGAGTCCGTGACAGAGCAAGGAAGTGAAGCGTGGTCTCCCCAGCCCCAGCTGAGCACCCTAACCGCTGCTTCTTCTTGGGTCCTTGTCACAAACTAGATGTTTTTCCAGAACCGTGCACAAGCAACGGCTCTTTCCATCGCTGCGGCAAGCGACTCCTTCGTACAGGTCTCGCCATGGAGTCAGCAAATGAGCAGGCGGTCTGGCCTTCCCTGCACTCGCATGCGTTCGTGGCATTAGACCTTAACCCCTGGGCCCTCTTTGCCATGCAGGTCACTTTCTCCATCCATAGCCCCAGGAGTGCAGTGTTGACTCACAAGTGCTTTGAGATCTATGGGTGAACAAGCCCTCGGCCAATATTAAAATGTGGATGCCTGGAGCCAGACCTCTACATAAACTGTCCACCGCTCCCACTGACAAAACGGGCACCTCTGATCACCCTCAGTAGGTGCCTCATTTTATGCAAATGTTTTCCCAGACCTCCAGTAATTAGACCAAAACACTCATTAAACTTTGTCTCTGCCCAGTTCTCCCCCCACCTAACTTCTGGCGTGGTTTTGAAAGGCCATCAGCGCCCCCCAGTGGCAGGCTGAGAGGTAGCAGCATGCCAGCCCTGTATCTGCAGGCCGTTAGTTCTGCTCAGGCATCGAACGTGTGGGAATAAATCGTAATTTAAAAAAACCCAGGCGCAAAGTCTCAGCTGCCGTACGTCCATGAAGCAGGGCTGTTGGCCATGGGGCTGAACCCATTTACATCCACTGAGGAGCTGCTGTGGGGTTTTTGGTGGTAATGAGGAGCTGTTACTCAATATTGAGTCAATATCAAGTGCCAAAAATTAGGCTCCCAAAGCCATATTTAAGCTCCTAAATTCAGGCGACGCATTTGTAGACACCCAAGATGGAAAACTCGGGCCTAAACTCCCGAAAGAGGCAGCACAATTCACTGAGCTGGGTCTCGAGAGACAGGAGAGCTAGTCCCACTGCTGCCGCCAACCTGCTGGATGATCTTGGGCAAGTCACATCTCTGCCCTTGGTGCCTCAGTTTCCCCACCTGTAAAATGGAGATGATGATACTGACCTCCTTTGAGATCTATGGATGAGAAGCACTGGATAAGAGCAAGGGATTATTATTAAATACCTAGCACTTTTCAGGCCTGATTCTGATTTCATTCACACTGGTGTAAATCAGAAGGGACTCCACTGAAGTCAATACAGTCAGCCTGAGAGGAGAATAAGACCCAATGTACATGCGAGGCAGCTATTAATCCTGTTGTGTCCTGGCTCTTTACCCCACAGTAAGAATATGGGGAAGCCTCACTGGCAGGACGAGACTCCAAATAACCATGTTTATTAACTATGTGCAAATATACCAGACTCAGGGCCTGGCGCCAGGGGGCCATTTGGGCAAGCTAACCTGAATTAATGAAAGGGGTGAATTTGAAGTGGACTAGTTAAGCTGCTGTGTGTGACCCCCTCATTCCAAATTAAAGTGGCCTTAGTTGGGTTTAGCTTCATTCATTCCAAAATGAATTAAACAAAACCAAATTCTGGCCTCTGTAATTTTGAATAACAGCGTTCACACAGGAATTTCATGTGATTTAAACCAATCCAAATTCACACCTTTAGTTAATTTGGATTAATCTTCCTAGATGGTCGTGTGTCGATAAGCCCCAACTACCTAGGTATGTGGCTGCTCTGGCAGGGTTCTGGTAGGTCCAGCAATGGAAGACAGCAAGACCCTATAGAGGGCTCCCAAACTATTTAAAGGGATATTACCCAATTCTTCAATACTACAAACCCCATTGTAGGGGGTGGGGGCGGGAAATGAGACACGGGACTGAGCATCCACCATTCCCACTATGGTCAATGGGATTTGTGGGTGGTCAGTCCATAAGTGACTAGCCCAGATCGGCAGCATGAGGACTCAGATTCTGAGGTCAGAGGGGAATCTGATCATCCAGTTAGACCTCCTGTAGAGCAGGTTGGAATCACTGGGGAGAACCGTCCGGCATCGGGTGCCTTTTTGGGGCAGAGTCCATAGTTTTGTTCTGTCTGTACAGCACCTAGCACCCTGGTGCATGCCTGGGGTTCCTAGGTGCTACGATAATACAAAAATAATAAAAACTATTTGGCTAACCTAGTGAGGAGGGCTTTAAACTAGGTTCACCGGGGGAAGGAGACCAAAGCCCTGAGGTAAGTGGGGACATGGGATACCGGGAGGAAGCACAAGCAGGAGAGGGCTCCTGCCTCACACTAAGAAGGCAGGACAAACAGCGAGTTATCTCAAGTGCCTATACACAAATGCAAGAAGCCTAGGAAACAAGCAGGGAGAACTGGAAGTCCTGGCACAGTCAAGGAATTATGATGTGATTGGAATAACAGAGACTTAGTGGGGTAACTCACATGACTGGAGTACTGTCATGGATGGATATAAACTGTTCAGAAAGGACAGGAAGGGCACAAAAGGTGGGGGAGTTGTATTGTATGTAAGAGAGCAGTTTGACTGCTCAGAGCTCTGGTATGAAACTGCAGAAAAACCAGAGAGTCTCTGGATTAAGTTTAGAAGTGTGAGCAACAAGGGTGATGTCGTGGTGGGAGTTTGCTATAGACCACCAGACCAGGGGGATGAGGTGGACGAGGCTTTCTTCCAGCAACTCATGGAAGTTACTAGATCGCAGGCCCTGGTTCTCATGGGAGACTTCAATCACCTGGATATCTGCTGGGAGAGCAATACAGTGGTGTACAGACAATCCAGGAAGTTTTTGGAAAGTGTAGGGGACAATTTCCTGGTGCAAATGCTGGAGGAACCAACAAGGGGCAGAGCTCTTCTGGACCTGCTGCTCACAAACCGGGAAAAATCATGGAGCAGGTCCTCAAGGAATCAAGTCTGAAGCACTTACAGGAGAGGAAAGTGATCAGGAACAGTCAGCAAGGATTCACCAAGGGCAAGTCATGCCTGACTAATCTAATTGCCTTCTATGACAAGATAACGGGCTCTGTGGATGAGGGGAAAGCAGTGGACGTGGACTTTAGCAAAGCTTTGGACACCGTCTCCCACAGTATTCTTGCCAGCAAGTTAAAGAAGTATGGGCTGGATTAATGGACTATAAGGTGGGTAGAAAGCTGGCTAGATTATCGGGCTCAACGGATAGTGATCAATGGCTCCATGTCTAGTTGGCAGCTGGTATCAAGTGGAGAGCCCCAGGGGTTGGTCCTCGGGCCGGTTTTGTTCAATATCTTCATAAATGATCTGGAGGATGGTGTGGATTGCACCCTCAGCAAGTTTGCAGATGACACTAAACTGGGAGGAGAGGTAGATACGCTGGAGGGTAGGGATAGGATACAGAGGGCCCTAGACAAATTAGAGGATTGGGCCAAAAGAAATCTGATGAGGTTCTACAAGGACAAGTGCAGAGTCCTGCACTTAGGACGGAAGAATCCCATGCACCGCTACAGACTAGGGACCGAATGGCTCGGCAGCAGTTCTGCAGAAAAGGACCTAGGGGTTACAGTAGACGAGAATCTGGATATGAGCCAGCAGTGTGCCCTTGTTGCCAAGAAGGCCAATGGCATTTTGGGATGTATAAGTAGGGGCATAGCGAGCAGATCGAGGGACGTGATCGTTCCCCTCTATTCGACATTGGTGAGGCCTCATCTGGAGTACTGTGTCCAGTTTTAGGCCCCTCACTACAAGAAGGATGTGGAAAAATTGGAAAACGTTCAGCAGAGGGCAACAAAAATGATTAGGGGACTGGAACACATGACTTATGAGGAGAGGCTGAGGGAACTGGGATGTTTAGTCTGTGGAAGAGAAGAATGAGGGGGGATTTGATAGCTGCTTTCAATACCTGAAAGGGGGTTCCAAAGAGGATGGATCTAGACTGTTCTCAGTGGTAGCAGATGACAGAATGAGGAGTAATGGTCTCAAGTTGCAGTGGGGGAGGTTTAGGTTGGATATTAGGAAAAACTTTTTCACTAGGAGGGTGGTGAAACACTGGAATGCGTTACCTAAGGAGGTGGTGGAATCTCCTTCCTTAGAAGTTTTTAAGGTCAGGCTTGAGAAGGCCCTGGCTGGGATGATTTAGTTGGGGATTGGTCCTGCTTTGAGCAGGGGTTTGGACTAGATGACCTCCTGAGGTCCCTTCCAACCCTGATATTCTATGATTCTATGGTTCATTTCTGCTATTCCTCCTTCCGGTGACACGAAGGCCAGGTAGCTTTCCTGGCCTACATCCCAGCCTAGCAGCACCATCTTCTCCACGTTGCCTTTGTAGCAAGCTTAACCTGAAAAGGAGACCAGCTGTCTCCATGGCCCATCCTTGACTGCTCTGCTAAGACTAGTTTGAAACCTACCTGGGTGTACCAGCAGCAACAGGTCAGGAAACAGGCTGAGACCCAGAAAACTCATTGCACAACGTGCTACTAAACATCACCATTTCTTCATCACCAGAGCGAGTGCCTGCCCTGCTGCTGTGAAAAGTGTGGAGGCCAACAACCAGCCCGACACCAAAATTTAAATGTTTATTATTAAGAGCAGTTTAATCCACAGCAGCTAAACGCTACATCTGAATTACCCCACGAGTCCTTGGTGCTGCAAAGAAACTCATTCACAGTCACGCAATAAAAATGGAACAACAAAGAAGGGGTCAGGGAGAAGCATTAAATTTTGTTTTTTCCCATAGAATTTGAGTTACTATTACGCCTGCAGAGTGAATCTACTACATACGGAAGGATTGTGGCCGTTTAGGAATAGGAGTCACCCAGAATAGTCCCCAGCTGGGGGGGGGGGCAGAAGCACCCCAGAAAGCAAGAAGGTGTGGATGTAGATGTTAAACTGAAATCAAGTCTGCTTTACACTAGAGCAGAATCAGGAATCTACCGTTGCAATGAACCTACAATTACCATGTTTCGTAGATGAACACTCAGCCAAGAGGAAAAGTTATTTAGGTACAGTTGACTTTATAACACAAGGCAATCAGACCCCTTTGTGTCTAATCTATAGTCACAGTTTTAGGGGTTGGGATTTTTAAAGCACCCATAGTTAGTGTAAGAGTTCGGTCACCCCTGAAAATTTCACCTTCAGGCCCAGAGCCTGCAATCGGCTCTTTGGGGCAGGGACCAACTCTTCATTCTGTGTTTGTACAGCCCCTAGCACTATGGGGTCCAGGTCCATGCCTACAGCCCCTACCTAGGCACGATCACAGTACAATTAACGATCCCCACCTCTTATCTAGCGCTTTTCACCCGCGATCTCACAGCACTTTACAGGTGGGGAAACTGAGGCATGGGGTGACATGACTCTCAAGGTCACCCAGCAGGCCAGTAACAGAGCCAGGAATAGAACCCTGGTTGCCCAACTCCCAATTTGGTGCTTCACCCACTAGGCCACAGACTTCAAGAGCCCCACAGCTCCATCCGTATGGATCTGATTGCGAGTTGGGGGCCTTTGCAACTACACATTTTGATGAAGGCAGCCTGGACTCAACAGTCATTTCCCTGCATTTACCATCCCCTCACCAGCTGAAGAGACACCCCACAGCCTAAAACACTAAGTCGTTTCAGAGCTTTCTCCCTCCTGGAGCACTAGTGTAAACTGGGGATGTTTTGCAATCCCTCTGCTATTCTGCAAAAGTTCTCTCTCTGCTGCGCAAGAGACCCACGTGAGGAAAACAATGGCCCCGATCCTGCAATTGGACCCATGGGGATGGATCCAAGTCCAGCCCCACGAGCTCCCTGGGTGGATCTCACTGCAGAATCTCAAGGCCAAATTGGGACAAAAAGTCAAAAAAGTGTTTGCAAACTCTGAAAAAACATTTTGGTTTAGGTCAAAGTGTTTCGTTTCCATCTTGACCAATTTTAACTTTTTTTCCCAAAAATTAGAATTTGCGTGTATTTCAAATTGGAAATCGAAAAAAAAAAAAACCCAGAATTTTTTGTTTTAAAATGCCAAAACGCTTAGCAATCGCTGCTACGCCCCCACCAAATCTTTTCGAGGCGGCAAGGTTCCTGGGGAAATTTTTGGTTGACAAAATTGGCATTTTCCAACAAAAAAAAGCATTGTGGAAAAAGTTCCTGACCCAGCGGTAGCGCTCGCACCTTCACTGGAGAGTGTGTGTTGTGGCTCAGTTTTTGTTAGATTTTGCTGTTAAACTGGTGTCAGCAAAAGCCAGACTGCTTGAAAGAGATGGCCTAAAATAAAATCCTTCTGCTTGCAGTTGCTCAGTCTCTTGCAATATCATAATCAGTCATTCTCTCTCCGACCTTCATCACCAGAGCAAAAACTTGTAAAGTAAGAATCATTTTAATACAATGCATTCAGGCTTTCTTCATCCATCACTAAGCAGCCCAAAAGGACACAAATCCCAACTTCCCCCCGACTTTGCAGATCACCTTTAACTGCAACGGCACATCCCCTTGCTGGTTTGCAGTTATCCTAAGGAATTACACCCGGATCCCCTGCGGTCGCTTAAAAACCCAAAGGAAGATGCTCAGGTTCTCAGATGTGTGGCTGCACTGGAGGTAAAATTCTAAGCAGAGTTCAGGAGGCTATTTCAGAGGAGAAACAAAAATATATACATGTGGATTATGCATGTGCTCTGCAGGTCTATGACTGAGTCCATGGGATGGGAGCACAGACCTGGATCTATCCTCTATAAAAAGTGAGCGGTGGTCAATCAGGGATATAATTAGCACCTTATTAGGACAACACCACACAGCCATTCTACAGAACCTTCCATCCAAGATAGCATGAGCCAAACCCACCCAGTGTAGTGTTCTCTCTCCCCCGCTAATGGTGGATGGGCCACATACACAGCTGACGAGCCTGCTACACCGCTGGCTAATAGGGCAGGGACTTCTAGCTCAGGCTAGGAGACACCTGGTTTTAGACACAGAGGTTCCATTCCTGCTGCTGTCACTGCACCCAGGGGTATGGTATTACAATAGCAAAGTGCCTCACAGCTCCCTGACAGGGTCGGTACAGTGAATATTATCATCCTTCTATTAGAGGGGAGCTTCATAGATTCTAAGGACACGAGGAACCACTGTGATCATCTAGTCTGACCTCCTGTACAACACAGGCCAGAGAACTGCCCCAAAGTCATTTCTACAGCAGATCCCTTGGAAAAACATCCAACCGCGATTTTAAAAAAAATGGCCAGCGATGGAGAACCTGCCTTGACCCTCGGGAAATTGGTCTGATTGTTCATTCCTCCTGCCTCATTGCCAGTTGAAATTTGTGTGGCTTCAACTTCCAGCCATTGGATCGTGTTCGACCTCTCTCTGCTAGAGGGAAGAGCCCCTTGTTCAATATTTGTTCCTCATGGAGATGCCGAGGGAGTGTAATCAAGTCACCCCTTACCCTCCTCTTTGCTAAGCTGACTAGACTGAGCTCTGGAGTCTGTCACGATGAGGCAGGTTTTCTAATCCTTTAATCATTCTTGTCGCTCTTCTCTGAACGCTTTCGAGTACATCCACTTCCTTCTTGAACCGTGCACATCACAACCAGGGTCCATACTCCAGTAGCTGTTGCACCAGTGCCAAATGCAGAAGTAAAATAACCTCCCCCCTGGCACTCAAGAAAACTGGGTCCATGGAGGTTACATAGCAACTTACCAAAATCGCAGCGACAGCATTAGAACCTTAGCTTCTGAAATCCCCAGGCCCGTTCTCTAATCTAACCACTAGACCACACTGCTAGTGTAACCCAAAATCGTGACCAGTGCCCTCCACTCCCCAGTCCACATATCCAAAGTTTCTACTGAACAGAAAGCTCAGGATACCTGATCCTGTCTGTGTTTTCCCCATTCCAACTTCACTCTAGTGAATTCGCCCTGCAGAATCTCCTTGGAGGATGGAACGCCGATAGCCCACCTCTAACGGAGAAATGCTCTTTCCCCTTCCGAGGCTGAAGTTCAAGTCATCACTTTGATGCAAACTTCATCCCCCAGTGGCACGGCTCTGCTCTCAGTTATGCCCATGTAAATCCAAGGGGCCATATTCTTAACCAATGTAGCTTTGCTGACATCAGTGGAGTTAGGCTAGGCTGATTTGCCCCAGCTGAGAATCTGACCCACTGACGGCAATGGAGACACTCCACATCTAACAGAGCAAACCATGTCCTGGAGTCTAATACAAGTCAGCTTCACACTGTGCCCCCACCAGGTATCCCCCCCAATGGACCACAGGTTCCAATTAGTGTTACGGTCATGCATGTAGGTCAGGTGCAGTTCTCCTTCCCCCTCCCCTACCCTCCACCCCCCATGCTGTTCACCTCAAAAGCCTGGCTTAGCTGGGGACATTCTGGCTTGGGGCAGCATGCCATGGGGCGGCTAGGATAGTGTCCCTCTATTAGCAGAGAAGAACCTGACTCTGTAAGCAAATATCTGCAGAGCTCACAGCAAACTGAGGACATGAATGAAAGACAACAGGTAGTAAATGCAAAATCTAGACTATCTTTGCTTTGATGATCTCTGCTTGCAAGGCGCTCTGAGTCCAGACCTGTTTAATCACCCGTGCTCCTAATACCCGACTAAAGTCAATGAAGAGTCAGCCCAGAATCTTCCTTTCCATTCCCTGTTGCTAACATGTCTGTTCCTCCTTTGCATTGAGCAGGGAGCACGTGCTGGGAAAGGGATTGATCATCAAAAGGCAGGAAAGAATTTTGCAGAATTAAAAAAAAAAAAAAGACAGGGAGGGTCAGTTATAACCAAATTGAGTTGGCCGAATAGCATTCGCTCCCTTTCTCCTCTCAAGATGGAGATTGGTGGGCCTGATCCTGATCTCATTTACATTGGCTTTCCACAGCATAATTCCCTTCTCTCATATACACCCATGCGACTGCAAGCAGAATCAGGCCGGTTGCTTCTAGGCACGGTTGTCCAATTTGGGAAGTTCACGGCCTCGTGGATCTAAGCGCAAGAGCTGGGTTCCCCTCTCACCCCAGTGTAAATCCGGAGTTACTTGGAACTGGCGCAGGTGTAACCCAAATGGAGACCGGATCCTCAGCTGGTGCGAACAGTTGTAGATCCACTGAAGTTGATGGTGCTAGGCTGGCTTATCCCAGCCAAAGACCTGGCCTGTGGACTTAGGCGCTCATTCAGACATAACAGTCAAACTGGAGGTAGCTCAGATTACTCCTTACAGGTCTACGTTGTCACCGGGTAACGCCTCCTCAACCTTTTACTTGGACCCATCAGCGTAAGAGGCGGATTCCTGCACAAGCGTCCTTTCAACACCCCAGTGGCATCTCACTCCGGACACCAACAAGCTCTGAAAACTCACAGACCTCACCTTGGCTGTGAATCGGGCCCTCCCTGTCCCAGCAGAAATTGAACGGGAAAGGTCATGAAGAAGTTAGCCATGCTGCGGAAAGGGGCAGCTACAGCCCCGTGGTTTCAGAGGCCGTGATACCGATCTCTCTGACTCCAGTGCGTGCTAGGAGCTGCACCCCTGCAGTCTGCAGGATTACACCAGTGCGAGTGTCAGACCAGGTCAGACTCTGCCAGCCTGGTTCTTGGGGACACCCAGGCCCTTTCGCAGTGCTCTGCAGCACAGGTGGGCCCCAACAATGGGGAAACACCCCCCTCTTCCTTAGCTACAGTGGAGCTGGCGTCATGGCTCTTCAATGGCCTTGCCCCCGACCCTGGAGACCAGGAGCATGTCCAGAGTACCCTGCGTAATAGCGATTCCCTGCTTCCCAGGGCCCGCTGGTCGCCATGGGGAGCAGAGCATAATGTAGAGCAGCCTCCAGACTGCTCTAACTTACACCGTGGGGGGGCCAGGCAAGCCTCAGAACACAGGGAGTGCAAAAGTGGCTTAAAGCCACCCCGTTCGTCAGTGCCTCAAGTGCAGGAATGGAGCAGGCCCCGTCAACTCAAGCTAACCCCTGCCCTCAAAAATCAATGGAGAGTAAAGAAGAGCAGAATCCATCCCAACAGCAATTCTACATCTCCATTCTCCAAAAGGTGATGTGAAACGAGAGAGCCGACTGAGCCGTGAGCCAACCCTCCCCACCCCGGAGACAAAGACCTTCATGTAGCCAAGTGTTTACGAGAAGAGGACATACAACATACAGTCGCTCGTTCTACCAGCACAACAATCCCCAGCCAAGAGAGGTAGGTTGGGGTGGGCACGGACATCAGTGAAACCCAGGTGCCATGTAGAACAGAGTTTGCGCTGGCCCGGCCCAGGGCAGCTCTCCGCCCAAAGGTCCCGTGCTACATCGAACAGGCAAGGCGGTCTGGATTTAGGCTTTGTTAAAGGCCGCCAGGACAGCCCAGATCATCTCCGTGGCACTGGCTTTGGTGGCCTCCACGTCGGGGTCCAAGTCCAAGAGGTCCTTCGACCGGTTCATGGCCGTGTCATACTTGTCGTCCGCCAGCGGGGTGAAAACATTCTCCAGGACGTCCGAGGAGTGGGCCAGCACCAGCAAAGCCAAGGTCCTCCTATCCATGCGGTGTGGGTCATTCACCCACCGGTCCAGGACACTCTCCTGCAGCTTCTTGAGCAGGTGCTGCTTCTTGGTGGTGTTGGTGACTGGGTGGGTGGTCATGTCGAAGAGCAGGAAGTTCTGCTTCTCCGTGGTCAGGATCCCCTTCTCCACCAGGTTCTTGGCGATGCGCTCCCGCACATTGCGCAGCTGGTACTGCAGCTTGAAGGGGTTCCAGGTCTCGCCTGCGGGTCGGGGAGACGAGGGTTGCTTTTTAGTGGCAAAAATCAAGGCAATAGGTGGGCACCCCCCACGCCACGACATCCCAGGGAGAGCTCGGATACTGCACCTCAGCCACCCCTGCGATGCTGTTCCAGTACTTGGACCCTCCACACCGCTCTACCCAAGTACCGCAATCCTCTTCCTGTCTCGCGCCCCTGCCCAGTTCCCTCAGGACACCTTCAGTTTGATCCATAAGCCCAGACACAACATGTGCCTGCTGATGGGGGGGGGGGGGGGAGATGGGGACGGGGGACGGCACCCTGGAACAGCACCAGCCCTGCCCGCCCCCAGGCAATCTCCCCCATCCCGGAAATCAGCAGCCCTTCCCTGCAACTCCTACCTGTTCATCCTGCTGCCTCTCTCCCTGCCTGGCACAGCTCACTGGCTCAGCTGCCCCACAGGGAGGGGAGGGCCTGGCTGCACCAGGTGACTGAGCAATCTTGCGGGGGGGATGGGGGGGCGTGACCTTACACCCCCCGCCCACGCGTCGCCTCTGCCTAAGCCCCTGTGCTATTCCAGTACCAGGTTCCACACAGTTGAGCCAATGCTCCTCAATACCGACCCACAGCCCACGCACCCCGCTGCTCTTCCAGCCCTGGGCTCCCACTCAGATCAGCCAATGCCCCTCGATCCTGACCCACAGCCCCACCCGCGACTCCACCCTTCAGAAGCTGCCCGTTTGCCCCAGGGAGAGAATCACGCATTGGAGCGGGAGGATTAAATTACACATTAGGACAAGAAGCAGCGTGTGAGTGTGTGGGGGGGACTCTCATGGAAGCCACAGAACTCCAAATTCCCAAGGCAGGGTGACTTAATTACGGTGCTCTGGGCGCAAAAGTTCCCACAGCCCTGAGCCACAGGGCTAGATTGAGCTAATTTTTTACACGTGGACCAGGCCTAGGCGAGGCCGAGTATTTAGGAGGCAGATCCGCATGGAAAAAAAGCACCAACGTTGTTTCGTCCAGGGCAGAACTGCCAGCAAGTAAGAGGAGCACAAACCCACCCATGCAACCTGCCTGGCTGGATTCCAGCCCAATCAGGGACGAGATCAGCCCCGGGCCAGATAAGTCTGAATGTGCCGCGAGGCACTGCCCCGTGAGAGGCGGAGCGCTTGGCCTCTCCAGCATGCTGCACCGCCCTGACTGGTTTAGTCCTTAGGCTGGAGAGGGCAAACTTTTTGGCCTGAGAGCCGCATCGGGGAATAGAAATTGTATGGCAGGCCATGAATGCTCACAAAATTGGGGTTGGTGTGCGGGAGGGGGTGAGGGCGCCAGTTGTGGGTACGGGCGCTAGGGTGGGGCCAGAAATTAGGAGTTCAGGGTGCGGGAGAGGACTGTGGGCTGGGGTGGGGAGTGGGCTCTGTTTGGGGGTGCAGGCTCTGGGGATGAGGAGTTTGGGGTTGGTAGGGTGCTCTAGGCTGGGATCGAGGGGTTGGGAGGGCAGGAGGGGGATCAGGGCTGGGGCAGGAGGTTGGGGTGCAGGGAGAGGCTCAGGAATGCAGGCTCCGGGCAGCGCTTACCTCAAGAGGCTCCCGGAAGCAGCGGCATGTCCCTTCTCCCACTCGGAAACGTGGCCAGGTGGCTCTGTGCGCTGCCCCGTCTGCAGGCACCGCCCCTGCAGCTCCCATTGGCTGCAGTTCCTGGTCAATGGGAGCTGCAGGGGCAGTGCTTGGGGCAGGGACAGTGTGCAAAGCAGAGCCCCCTGGCTGCCCCTATGCGTAGGAGCTGAAGTGGGGGACATGCCGCCGATTCTGGAAGCCGTGAGGAGTGGCCCCCTGTCCCTGCTCCCCAGCTGGAGCACTGGAGCGGGGCAAGCCCCAGACCCCGCTCTCCAGCAGGAGCTTGAGGGCCGGATTAAAATGGCTGGTGGGCCGGATCCAACCTGCAGGCCGTAGTGTGCCCACCCCTGTCTTAGGCGATCAAGCAGGAACAAGCCAGGGGGACACAGAAAGTGGCTCATTGCAGAGCAGGCCACCAGGAAGCGGAGGAGGCTCCATTCGAGACCAGGCCATTGTACCTGTGAGCAGCTCTATCCATGACTGGACTGTCTCTGCAGGCTCTGTGGCTTTGATGTGCTTGAGGGTCTCGTCAAGCAGGACGTCGCCGGTCGGGGTGTCTGACTTTAAGAGCACCTAGGAGGACAAAGAAAGACACACTGCTCGAGGCTGGATCCTGGACTGGTCGCTGTCCCTCTGTCCCAGGACGATCTGTAAGAGCTCACCAGCCTGACATGGCCTGATCCTGCTTTGGCTGGGAGCTTTGAAACTGGTTCTAACGGGAGAAGCCCAGGAAGCATCTTTGACCAAGACCAAGGGAGACGCCAGGGCACATGTAACCCACTGTGCTGTATGGGCTACGTGCCCCACGCTGGGCCCAATCCACAGAGGATAGGACACTGCTACAGCCCATGTGACGTTACAAGGGACTCTTAGCCCCACTGAAGCAATGAGGGATTGTCTAGTGGATAGAGCACAGGGCGGGGCATCAGGACACCTAGGTTCTATTCCCGGCTCTGGAATGTCCTCATACAGATTCAGTTAAACCGCGTGCAACTCTGAACACAGGCACAGGCTCAAAGCCAGCAGACATCAGAGTTACGCCAGACTAATGGAGTTACAACCGTGTGAGTGAAAGGAACATCAGGCCTATGCGCTAAGAGGAAGAATGGTCCAATGGTTAGAGAACCCGGCTCTCCAAAGCTAGAACAGTTCCCTGCTGTGACATTCTATACCTTGGGGAGCACCCTGTAGCCCCCATATCCCTCAGTTATACGTAATTGTGATTGTGCATATAAATCAAGCTATGTAAGGTATCAGGGGAAAGGTAATGATCTGGTGAAAGTCACTGTTCTATGTCATTAGTGCATAGGAAGTTACGAGATTTTGTTGTATCGTTGTCAGTAAGACGTGGTGTAAGTTGGGGAATCAGCCTGATATTAGCTCCCTAGAGACAACAGCAAGGAAAGTAACCAACCAAAGCGCCCGGGTGCGTGTCAAACAACTATCAATAGCCTTGTCCAGCAAGGGAGTTACAGTGCAATGACTCACCTGCATGAGGCCACACCATGGGAATTGTTCAACCTGCCCTGGGGACTCAGCAATGCCCACCAGACATGCCTGGACTTGTGTTCTCCAAACATGTGGACTGAGGGTATAAAACAGAACACAGGGGCCCCGTGCTTGGCCTTTCTCCTTCCCCCACCTATGCTGCAAGCAACAAGGACACTCAGAAGACTCCAACAGAGGAGACTGGGCCAGATTTAAGGGACAAACTTGTATATTACGGACTACAATATCCAGTGGGGGGAGAAAACCTGCTTAATTTAGATTTTACCCAGTCTAATAGGGTTGAGAGTTTAGACTGCATGCTTATATATTTTATTTTAGTAACCATTCTGACTTTTTGCCTATAACTTATAATCACTTAAAAATCTATCCTTTGTAGTCAATAAATGTGTTTAACTGTTTATCTTTGCCAGTGTGTTTGCCGGAAGGGTTTGGTAAGGGTGTTTGCTCAGGTTTACAAAGGCTGGGGTATATCCACTTTCCACTGATGAAGTGGTGAACCATTTAATAAATTTGCAGTGCAAGACAGTATGTTCCCGAGGTGCTGGAAGCTGGGGGGATTTGGCTGGCGCCTTTCTCTGTGTGATTCATGAATAGTTCTGGGAGCATCCATGCAATCTAGCTGGGTGTGGGGCTCATGCTGTTGTGCTGAGTGATCACAGCACCTGGAGGGTTTTGCTGCTTGTCACTAGCAAAGCATTGTGAGAGACAGCCCAGGCTGGAGAGTTCAGGGGGCACAGCGGTCTCACAGTCCCAGGCTGCACCCCGGGGATCCCATCACGCCTGCTCTGCCACAGACTCCTTGGCCCAGTCACTTCACCGCTCTGTGCCTCAGTTTTCCCATCTCTGTACTGGGGATGACAGCCCTGCCCTGCCTCCCAGGGATGCATGAGGATAAATGCATTAATAACTGAGTGCTCAGGCGTTATGGAGACAGAGGCCACAGGCGCACCTGAGACATCCATCTGGACATAAGCTGCCATTGTCCGTGCAAACAGTCGTTATTCCGGAGGCATGGGAAGGAGAGAGATGCCTCCCCACTTCCCTCCAGACAACGACAGGCCTGGCTCATTCCCCACATCTGACCCAACTGCCTACCTCGCGGCCTCCCCGTCCCGGCCTCTCTGTTGCGTTCTTCCTCCAAACCCACAGACCGGACGCGGGGCCCAATCCACACAGCGCCCCGACCCCTACCCCGCTGTAAATCTAGAGTTACTCCATCGCTTTCCATGGAGCAACTTCAGATTTACCCCTGCGGCGCTGATCAGAGCCAGCGTAAATGGGCTGGATTCTCCATTGCCCCGTGCCGTCGTTGACACGGGCGCAGAACACTCCCAAAGTGGGATGGCGGCGTTCTGTAGCCACGTCACGCTGGGCTGCAGGGCAGTGGGGAATCAGGCCCCATGGGTCTGAAAAGGTAGCAGGAGGGGATCTCCCCAAGGCTAAGGGCCTTGTCCTGCTTGTTGGCCCAACAGGCACAGAGACCAACCCCCCCAGGCAGGGTACCTTTCTGTCCAGCAGCCTCTTCTTCCTCATGGTGAGCGGCTCCAGCTGGATGCGTCCACGCAGCGCCAACTCGATGAGAATGCCGCCACGCAGGCCCGAGGAGATGCAGTCGTTCCAGAAGGACGTATAGCCCTGAGGAGGGGAGGAACGCCACCAGCTTAGAGACAGAGGAACCCTCGTGGGACGGAGTCGTCAAGAGGTTGCTACAGCTTCTTTGTGTCCCACCCACCCCTCCGAGGAACTGAAGGCAGCTCAAGGCCCTTTGCTTCTAACAGCTAGTGATAATAGCACCACCGAGCCCTTTCCATCAGCAGATCTCAGAGCCCTGGGGGTGAGGATCAGCAGCCCCATTTTACGGAGGGGGGAAACTGAGGCACAGAGCCGGGAAACGACTTGCCCCCAGGTCACCCAGCAGGCCAGCGGCAGAGCCAGTCCAGTTCCAGCTACGGAGTGGCAAAGGCCTGCCCTTTGGAGCAGGAGGGTCCGAGTTCTAACCCCACTGCCCCTACAGCATGGGAACCACTGCAATGTTTGTTCCCTAGGGGGCCAGGTGGTGCAGCTGGGATGCTCTTTGCTTCGAGAGCCCTCAGGAGCGCGCGGAGTCGAGAGGAAAGACAGAACAGCCAGCGGTTCTGAAATGCCAGGGCCCCTCTCCCAGCAAAAGCCCAGTCTGTCCAGCCTGCAATTGTCTGAAAGCGGCTTTTTTTGTATGATGGCACCAGAGCAATGCTAGGCACCCCCCCAAAATGGACAACGGTGCCCGATTTTCAGAGACGCCGAGCACCTGCAAATCCAGCTTATTCACACCCCTGAGCGACGTCACTTATACCGACGTAAGCTATAGCTTGTACATAGCCTACCAAAGGCCAGATCTGCTCAGTTAACGAGACTTGGCCAGCACAGCGTTCAAGGGTTGGGCCAGCAATCTGTCGTTTGCCTCACAGAGCCGATCCTTCCAATATCAACCCTGAGCAGCACATCACATGCCCTTCGCCAGCTGGCTCGGGTTCCAGCAGCACCTACTTCCTGCTTCACAGAGCAAATGACCGCTGTAATGCGGCTTTCTTCTAGCACGTCCAGGTGTTTGTTGTTGGCAGAGCGGACGGGAAGTTTGCGTCAGCCCCGGCCTCGGACACCTAGCCTAGGAGTTGAGTAAGAGTTTTGAAAACGAATCTGACTGCAGCCCACACTGGCCTGCCAAACCGGCTCAGAGCAGAGCCCTGCAGCAGTACTGGACTACGACTCAGACTCCTGGGTTCTATTCTCACTCTGCCACTGAGCTGTCAGATGACCTTGGGCAAGTCACTTTGCCTCTGTTCCCCTTCCCACCTAGTCGGTACATATCAAGGATGGTCTCATACTATGCGAACAGGGCCTTGATCTCAGGGGAGCTACTGTAACATAAATAAGTTTCATGCTTCTGCAATTCTGGGACTAGTCAACATTTGAGAGAGGGGTTTGTGAGCAAACACCCCACCGTGGAAAAGAGTTGAGAGACAGATGTTAAGGTTTCCGTCGCCTTTGGATGTGACCCTATAGAGAATTTTATTCGCCACAATAGGGAAAAAAAAATATCAAATAAACCCACTACAGAGCACAAGTCTCAGTGCAGTTCTATAGGTTTGAAAGAGTTAGGACCCGTAGGAAATTCTACAGGACCTTTTCCCATAAGGGACATTGCTTTCAGCATGGTGAGGGGAGGGGGGAGAAGACAACGAGAGAGAGACACAGAGTATCTAACTGTAATGGTGTCATTGCTTGGCCCCGTTTGCCTGCCCCCCGCCAATTCTTCCCCATCCGCATTAAACCCATGGGGAAACATGCCAGAAACACACCATCCGCCCTTTTCATGATGAACTAGAACTGGGTCAGCGGCTGGCACGAGAACTAACCAAGGAGCAGTAACCGTTTTCCATCAAACTAGCTTTCCCAGAGCTTAACGAGATTTCTGAATAATGAGGCCGCTCAGGAAAACATTAAAGCCCTGACAACTTCAGACATGCATGCCGAACAATTAGCTGTAATCAGAAATTGCTTGTAAGCCCTGTCGTAAGAGCGCTCCTGGCTGTCTGCAGCTTTATCTTTAAGCCCAAGGTGTACATCTTTGAAGAGACTTCCAGGAAGGTTTAGATAACAGCACTCTCCCTAGTGTCCTGCCCGGATTGCACTCTGGTTAATTACATTCTGCCTGCTTAAATCCACCAAGTCCATTACTTGCTCGCTTGGGATGGGAACTTCTGAAATTGTTGGGCAGCGTGGCGGCATGCTGTTAAACAGCTGCTGCCTTCCACCCTAGAAGTGGCTGCATTTCGATCACGGGGCGGGGCGGGGCGGGGCGAGCGCTCGAGGGGCCAGATCCTCAGCTCAAGTAAACTGACACAGCTCTATTGAAATCAGTGGAGCCACACTGATTTACACCAGCTGAGGATCTGGTTCTGTGTATCGGTTTATAGTCACTCTCTCAGTTCTCTAATGCACTCCATCACCAACCCTCCATACATTATAGCTATGAGACACAGTCATTCAGACTGTACAAAATTCACCCTTTTCAGCACCAAGTTCCATGCACCCGCCAGAGCCCTACTCGGAGTGGGTAAGTGATGCAAAGGCCTCTACACCAGGGCACATTTCAGCCTAGCTCAAGGGGTGTTGAATAATGTCCCGTCCCCCCCAATTTAATAGCAAAGGGCCCGATCCTGAGACGCATCAAACACCTGCCACTCATCCTTTCTTCAGCATCATAATTAGAGTAGGACCTAGAGTCGCCAGCCAGATCCTGGCCCTTTTGCGGAAGGTGATGTACGGACACTTAGGGAGAGAGAGTCCTTGCCTGGAACAGGTCAAAGGGGGCAGGAAGAGAAACAGAGGGACCTTGCCTCCCTGCTCCCAGTCCAGTGTTCTACCCACTAGATGATACCATTAAACCAGATCGCTTCAGATCAGACCCAGCCTTAAAAGTTTAGTGTCAACTGAACAGAGGAGTATGGGAAATGCAATATACCATAGTCACACTATAACACAGACACAGGGAAAAGGCCCATGAACAAGACATCCTGAACTCTGAATCCTTAGTCGCCTGTCCTCCAAAAGCTAAGACACTGCTCACAGAAGTCACCAAGGGAGAAGTGTCAAAAAAATCAAGAGGAATTTTCTTTCACTACCTCTAGCTGAGGAGACAGATCAGCTGAGCACAATGAGGGAAATCAAATATTTTAAAACCAGCCAGGTCACTGTTTTCTGGGAGACTCATTCAAATCCCGGAAAGTGTCTTGGTTGCAGTCCCTGACCCACGAAGGCCCCAATCCTGCAGATAGATTCATAGGTTCAACAGCCAGAAGGCACCGTGGTGATCCCTAGTCTGAGCTCCTGCATGGCACAGGCCAGAGAACTGCCCCAAAATAATTCCTAGAGCAGAGCTTTTGGAAAAAATATCCAACAAAGATTTAAAAATGGGCAGATATTTGTGCGCGTGCTTCACCTGCGGCAATGAGCCTGATCCTAACCACAGATGTCAACAGGAGCTTTGCCATAGACTTCAACAGATATTGCACCAATCCCTAAAGCTGAACAAGCACATAAAAGTATTTGCAGAACCGGGGGCAGGAGGTGTAAGGCCTGAAACAGCATCTAACCAGCTTTCAGGCCTCTCAGCTCCAAATGGATCATTAGGGAAAGATGAATAAGCCCCACAGATGCCAAGTTTTGAGGATTAGAAATGGAATAATAATTTTTAAAAAGTATACAGATTTTTTTTTAAAAAAAAATGCACCGTTCTGCAGCCTACAAAGGGTTAATCCATAACTCCAAACATCTATTTATACAGCAAGCCTTGACACATGCACTGGGTGTGTTTGGCAGGGCAGAACAATCAAACAATAAAATAAAAAGTGAACCTTTATTTGCTTTCTTCATTTCCTTGTGGCAAGGGATCAAACAAAGCAGGAATCAAGAGTTCAGAGGATCTGCTGGGTGCTTTCTACAAAAGAAACTCTCCTTTTAACCACGCAAGTTTTTGCTCTCCAGAAAAGGGTTTCAAGTTCACCCTTTCTTTTTAAAGCAGGATATTTGCAACCTTTAGAATTCTGTCCAGATTTGGTTTCAGATTATAAATGCCAGACTGATTGCCTACCCCCAGATGGATTGGATCTGAGACAAAGAGATCTAGTGAAGCTGGAAGAAAACAAAATGGTGTCATGGGGCTTCCAGACAGAAAATGGGCAACATTTTATTTCTCCTACCACCAACCTCTCCCTCCTCCCCCACACACGCCTGGTTTTGGTCAAAACTTTCCCCTAAACTTTAGACTGCATCTTTATCGTCCCTCAAGGACTCCATATGAAGCTGGAGCACTTTAAAGGCAAAGAGATGGTTGTTCTTCCTGCTGGCACATCAGATTCAACCAGGATCTGAGAGTCAAGCTGGGTTCTTTCAACTCTGGTCAAAGTGGACCCTCTATATTCTTAGCCTACCATGAAACCCACCCAAGATATGATTCAGAAGTATCCTGTGTGCTGAATACACTTCAAAACAAGGGCTGGCCAGAAAACAAGAATTCTATTTCAGGAAATATTGAGGTTTTGACATTTGTTTCCATTCCGATGAGGAATAAAACCAAGATCTTGCAAATTTGATTTTTGGGGCCGGGGGGAGGGGGGGGGAGAAAAAAGAGAAATGACAGCCGAATAGCCAACTGCCTAGTGATTACGGCACTCACTTAGGATATGAGAGACCCAGGTTCAAGTCCCTGGTCCAAATCAAGCAGAGCAGGAATTTAAACCTGGGTCTTCCACATCCCCAGTGCATCCCCCAATCTCCAGATTACTGGCCATTCTAGAATCTCTCTACTTCACTCTCTCTCACGCGCATACACACACAAACGTTGACCAGAAATTCCATCATGGATCCCAGAAACGTTCCTGACAAACGTTTCATCCAAACCAATATGTTTCCTCAAAAAGTTTTGGTTTTCACAAATGGGCATTTTGCGACAAAAACCATTTTGCTGAAAAGTTCCTGACGGGCTCAACTCAGAGCATTTTAACCAAAAGTGGGTAACTTTTAGTCTCCATTTGGTACAAATAGGGAAACCGAGGTGCACAGTGGGGAAGTGACTTGCTCAATGCCACGCAATG